AATTAGTATTTTCATATTCTTTGAGTAAATACCTAGTAGTGCAATTGCTGGATCATGGGGCAGTTCTATTTTTAACTTTCTGAGAAACCTACGTAAAGTTCTCAAGAGTAGTTGCACCAGTTTGCATTCCCACAACACTGCAAGAGGGTTCCCCTTTCACCACATCCTCGCCAATACCTGTTATTTCTTGTGTTTTTGAGTTGAGCCATTCTGACAGGTGTGAGGGCATATCTCGTTGTGGTTTTGATTTGTATTTCCCTGATGATGAGTGACGTTAAGTGCCTTCATTTGTCTGTTAGTGATCTGTATGCCTTTTGGAAATGTCTATTTATGTCTTCTGCCCCTTTTTAATTGGATTATTCATCTTTTGAGTATTGAGTTTTGTAACTTCTTTGTATGTTTTAGATATTAACCCTTTATCAGATATGTCATTTGCAAATATCTTCTCCCATCCTGGAGGTTGCCTTTTAGTTTTGTGGATGACTTTCTTTGCTGTGCAGAAGCCTTTTATTTTGATGTAGTCCCAATAGTTTATTTTTGCTTTTGTTTCCCTTGCCTCAATAGACATACCTAGTTTGAAGTTGCAATGGACAATGTCAAATAGGATTTTTATGGTTTCATATCTAACATTTAAGTCTTTAATCTATTTTGAATTTATTTTTGTGTATACTAGTTCTTAAATTAGGGACACTGGCTTTTGTATTAATGACATTACTTTCTTTTTTCCCTAAACAGCATGTAAAATTTACTTAACTTTACATTTCCCTCAATCCCATGCAACTTGTCTTCCACCATTCTTGTAATATTAAACTGCCTAGGTTTCTATGATACTCGATTACCTTTAAAGTCCATATTTCTACAAACAGTCTTTTCAAGGCAGTCTGAGCTTTTACTGTCACAACTTCAAAATTCTGTCAGACTCTACACATCTCGATTTCAAAGCCACTTCCATATTTTTAGGTACTTGTTATAGTGGTACCCGATTTCCCAGTATTAAAATCTGTTTTAGTTTCCTATGGCTAGGTGGCTTAAGGCAACAGAAGTATATTGTCTCATAGTTCTGGAGGCTAGAAATGAAATGAAATGAAAATGAGAATGTAAAGAAATGAAAGTGCCAGGAGAGCCATGCTCCCTCTGAAACTGGGTAGAGTCTCCCCAGCTTCTGATGGTGGCTGTCAATCTTTGATGTTCGTTGGCTTGTTGGCTTGCTCTTACCTCACTCTAATGTTTGTCTCCATCTTCATATGGCAGTCTGTGTGTGTCTCTGTGTTCACATGGCATTTTCCTCTTAAGGATACCAGTTATATTGTATCCATTAAAGTGGAGTCCACTTTAATGACCTCATCTTAATTATATCTTTAATGACCCTATTTCCAAATAAAGTCACATTTACAAGTACTAGGGACTAGGACTTCAACATGTCCTTTGGGGGAAGCACAATTCGTGCTATAACAGTATGGGTATATCACATTTTATTTACCTCTTCATGAATTGATAGAAAATTGGGTTGTTTCTACTTTTTTGACTATTGTGAATAATGGTACTGTAATCGTTCATGTATAAGTTTTTATATAAGGGTATGTTTTCATTTCTCTTGGATATATACCTAAGCATGGAATTGCTAGAAAATGTGGTAACTTTATGTTCAACTTTTTGAGCAGCTGCCCAACTATTTTCCAGACAGCTGCACCATTTTACATTCGTACCAACAATGTATGAGTTCTAATTTTTGCACATTCTTGCAATGCTTGTTACTGATTTTCTTTTTCGTTATAGCCATTCTGCTGGGGTTAAGTGTATTTCACTGAGATTTACATTTATATTTCCCAGATGCCAGATTATGTTAAGCATCTTTTCATGGTCTTAATGACCATTTGTCTATCTTTAGAGAAATGTCTGTTCATATCCTTTGTCTGTGTTTTTATTGTTGAGTTGTGAAAGTTCTTTTTATGTTCTAGATACTGTCCCCTTACCAGATATATGGTTGGTAAATATTTTCTTCCAATGTGTGCTTGTCTTTAACTCTTTTTTGATAAAGTCCTTTCACTTTCTCTTTTTAAAAAAAATTTGTTTTTTTTTAGTTTTTATAAAGGTGATCAATGTGAAAAGTTTAAGAAGTCAAATAGTGTTGAACAGAAACTAATAGATGTCTCCTTCCTTCTACATACTCCCAATTCCTGCTCCCCAGAGATAAGTGTTTTTAGTCAATTTAGCTATTTTCATATTTACCTCCATGTTTCTAAATAACATGTTTAAACTGCTATTCATTGGGTTTTTTTTCTCTTTGAGGATAATTATTTACTGACTTTTAACAATGGAAGTTAAGGACCAAGCTAAGCTCCCTCCTTATACCTTAGTCTTCTTGTTATATAAATTTTGGTGTATCAGTTTTCATTTTTGATATTACTATGACTGTATAAAATTGTCCACAGTTGAGTCCTCTAATATATGATTACATTGCCTTTCTTTTCTTTGTTTTTCTTGAAATTAATAATTTTGTTTTTATTATCATTGGTTAGTTTCCTACTTATCTGTTCCCAAATTCAGTTTGATTTTTTTCCTAGGAACATCTTTTCTAGAGCAGTTCAACCTTGGCTGTAGTCTAGACTCTTTTCCAGGGTGGGCACACAAATGCTGACATGTATTTGTCCTCCACCATCATCTCTGTGTTGGATCACCTCTCTCACTGGTTCCCATGTTTTGTCTTTTGTAGTTCGTCCCCTTGTGAAGCATTTGCATTTTTGAAAATGTCTGTTTGCCTTTGTAGTTAGGTGTAGTATATAGTAGTAACTATATACATAGTTAGCTATGTATGGTATTTTGAGCTGGACATTTTTTTTTTCAAAGCTTGAAAATCTTAAACCATTGTCTTCTCATAATGATGTTATTTAGAAGTCAAGTGCCAGTCTGATTTTCTGTTTTTTATATGTGAGTTGTTTTTTATCTTTGAGATTTTCCTTTTTTTTTTTTTTTTTTAGCATTGTGCTGAACTTATATCATGATGTCCTATCGTATGGGTTTTGTGTTGGGTACTTGGTGAAACTTTATCAATCTAGTATCTCAAGTGCCTTAGTTGGTGATATTTTCTTAATTTTCTCCCCCTTTTAATTTCCTTTGTCTCTTTTCTCTGTTTCTTCTTGTTGGAAATCCTATTAATGTAATTGTTGTTTCATCTAGATTATGCTCTTAATTTTCTTTCTTTTCTCCCCTCAGTTTCTACCTCTGAATTTTTTTTTTTTTTAATTTTTTTTTTTCAACGTTTATTTATTTTTGGGACAGAGAGAGACAGAGCATGAACAGGGGAGGGGCAGAGAGAGAGGAAGACACAGAATCGGAAACAGGCTCCAGGCTCTGAGCCATCAGCCCAGAGCCTGACGCGGGGCTCGAACTCACGGACCGCGAGGTCGTGACCTGGCTGAAGTCGGACGCTTAACCGACTGCGCCACCCAGGCGCCCCGTCTACCTCTGAATTTTTATTCTACTTCTCAACTATTTTTCTCAACTTAATATTTGCTATCGCTCATTTGCTATCTGAGAGCTTTTGGGAATTTTCTGAATGTTTCTTTGTTAATTTACTATAACTTCTTTTTATTGTTACAATGTCTTTGCAGTCACTTTGTTTCTGAGTAAGTTCATTGTGATGGTTTGGTTTTTGTTTTGTTTTATTTATTTATTATTTGTTTATTATTTATTTATTTTATTTTATTTATTTATTTTTTGCTACATGTTTCTTGTTTCTGTTTTGGTGTCTGTCTTTGATGTTTGGTAAATATATGTAAATATTTAAAACCATTCCTAGCACACAGGATATACTCAGTAAATAAATATTAGGTATTTTGTCTAGTGAATAAACGAGGAAAGGAGGGAATGGGGGCAGAGTGACAAATCTGTGTTAAGTAGTCTAAGCTAAATGATCACCCAACTACAGAGGCAGGTAGACATTTTCAAAAATGCAAATGCTCTACCACAAGAGGATGAACTTGAATAATGTTCAGGGATGGAGAATATCGAAAACATTAGAGAAACATTCCTAAGGTTTCCACATGAAAAGTAATGTAGACTTACAGAATCACCTAAAGATTTCAAGCTTGAGACATTCAGTGTCTCCTATTCTCTGAAATTAAGAAGACAGGAGAAAAAGCAATATTGGGGCAACAGGATTGAGTATGTTTTTAGATTTGAGAAGTGCGAAGTAGACTTAGTTTAACGCTAAAGACTCTACATAGTCTGTCTTCTACCCAAATGTCAGGCTTTGTTCTCTGTTTCTTTAACATAGCCTTAGAATATTCATTAGTCTCAGTATTCTGCTTCTCTTTTGGGAAATCACAATCACACTTTGTTAAATTATCTGTAACATCTTGCTTTTTGGTCTCTTAAGATATATACCAGGTTCATGAGTTTGTGTATGTGTGTGTAAAACTTTAAGAACAGATGAAGTCCTCAATATGTTAAGAAAAGTGAGAGTACAAACCAGACTGACAAAGTTTGTTAGTAGTTGATAGTATACTGGTTTTGACAGGGGGATTATTAACTTTTTGACCATCCTTGTTTTTTCCAAGAACTTGGTATTATTTTTTAAATAAAGCTATTTTTTTTAATTTAAAGATAAATAATGAAGGGAAAGTTATTTTGGCAAACCCTCATTTTCACCAGCTACTTTGAAATATAGGGGCGCCTGGGTGGCTCAGTCGGTTAAGCGTCTGACTTCAGCTCAGGTCATGATCTCGTAGTCTGTGAGTTCGAGCCCCACGTTGGGCTCTGTGCTGACAGCTCAGAGCCTGGAGCCTGCTTCAGAGTTTGTCTCCCTCTCTCTCTGCCCTTCCCCTGCTCCTGCTCTGTCTCCCTCTGTCTCAAAAATAAATAAAAACATTTTTAAAAAACTAAAGAAAAATAGTCTAAGTAACAAACAGTAAAGAAATGCTGTTGAATCCTTGTAATTATATAAAATGTGAATTTTTTTTCTTTTGAGATCTGAATTCTAATTTTTTTTTCTTTTACAGGTTTTACAGCTCTTTAAAACATTACACAGGACCAGACAACAGGTTTTTAAAAATGATACCAGAGCATTAGAAGGTAGGTTTACTTTTTGCTCCTTTGGAGTAAGTGCATTCTTCACATGGCTACTAATATATCCAAGAAAACTTGTATGGTCAAGACCCATCTTAGAGAGTGATCTTCACTATCTCTCCCCTAATGTTGTTATGTTTTGTAAAGATTAGTTTACATTACACTTCTTTGAGATGTATCTTCTTAAAAAATTTTTAAAGATCAAGTTCTTACAAAAAATCAGAATTTCAGTGTGATCCTTTGCTTGCTTTATGTTCGAGCCATTAAACTTACTCCTCTATTATATAATCCCATTTTCACACTCTTGGACCAGATACTACCATATAGTTAATGCCTTGTTTCATGCTCAAAGTGATAGTAGTGCTGAAAGAGAACCTATCCCAAACGATTATAATTTAGTATTTCACTGTTTTAAGTGGCTTCTTATCTGGAAATCAGAGCTCTAAAGCTTAGTTTCTATGTTGATCATGTTCAGTATCTATCTTAATATATTTCTAAAACTCTTTGAGAGGGCACTTAGATAGTGTCCTTACTATTCCCCAGGAATTCAAGTTTTTGTAATTCACCAAAAATAATTTCTTGAATATTAAAGTGTATACTTCATTTTGCATATACTTTACCAAATTCATTTAATCCTACATCCCTGTGAGTTACTATTATAATTTCTGTTTTCTTCAGATGACAAAATTGACAAAATGTGAAAGAATTTCTCCCACATCGTATTTAGTGAGAGGTACAATTGGAATTTAGCCTAAGCAGTTTGGGTACAAAGCCCAAATCTTCACCATCTTACGTATCGAAATATATCAAGCAGCTTTTCTGGCTATTCTCCATCAGCAGCATATTTTTGTTACTTTAAGTGTTTTCAAGTGACATAAGAACAGTTAACCTTACATAATTACTAAGCACTTTACATGGGTTGCTCTATTCAGTGTTCACAGCATCAATAAGGCAGTTGTTAGATTAGACTAAATTGTGCTATAATGATGCCAAGTGTCAGTGGTGTACATGAACAAAAGGTTTATCACTCACTTTACATGTTAGCCAAGACACTTATATATATATTTTGTTCCTATGTCTTTGTGTGTGTTTGTGTGTGTGGTTTAACATGCTTGTATATATTGGGTTTTGCCATTTTAAAGCATTTTAATTGTAATTTTTAGATTTATGGAAAAAAGCATTAAACGGGATTTATTAGAGTCTAGTAGCTGGAGGTACACAAATGAAACTGGAAGTAAAAAGTAGAAAACAAAAATATTAGAGCATTAAGAATGTATTCAGTTTAATTAGAAATTTGCCAGCCTGTCAAAAGCTCTCCAAGACACTTGTTTAATAAATATCTTGTTTTTTTTATCATTTGTTTTACATGAGGCAAAACTATCTTGACTACTAGAGAAGTAGTCATTCATAATGAATAACCTATAAATTCTTGGGGCAGGAATTATAAATTAGAAAAGAAATAATTGTATATATATTTTTCTTTCTCTAGCAGCCAGAATAAAGATAAATGAAGAATTCAAAGGTAATAAAAGTGAAACTTCTCCCAAGAAAATAGAAGAGGTACAGTAATTGCGTCTTTCATTTATGACAAAGCCCTTATACATTTTCTTAGCCACTAGAGAAAATGATGAAAATAGAGGGGTTATATGAAATAAAAATTATTACTTGATAGTTAAAGGCATCACAACTATGTCTACAGTTTACTTGTTTGGTATGGCTCACCTCTTGAGGCTCATCTGCCTACACCCCTAAGACAGCAAGTTTCTGGCTGAAAAGAACATGGATGTAGCTATGGTCAGAGCAAGAGCAGCTGAACCAATCCAGAAACCCACAGAAATTCTATCTTCACCTAAGGCAAGTGACTGAAACTAAGGAGAATAAATATTAAAACTGCAGATAGAACTTCTCTATTCATTTAGCTCAACTAGAGGCTTTTTTTTTTTAATTCCTGTCTTGGCAGTGAAAGTTAATCAGCCAGTTTGTGAACTCTTCTTGTTTTGCCTTTTAGTCACTTGTTCTAGTTGAAGACAGTCCGTCTGCTGACACCAATCTATGAACTTCCTAATACTCCCAGTACATATTCATTTTAAAAAATGCACAATGATTTGTTTGTTTAAACTCATATTGCATATGCATACATATTGTCTCTGTTTTTAACTTCCCAAGTATTTCTTTATCGCATTTTGTATAAATGTAGGGATAGAACCTTTAGGAAGAAAACAAAAAAATGGAAAATTATTTGCAGGGCAGTTATAATTCCAGGAATTGGTTTGGTTTAATAAAATCTACCTGTTAACTTTTTTTTTTTTTTTTTTAATTAAAATGCATTTATTTTCAGTAGAGAAAAATACTATTTTTAGAATAGTAAATATCTATAATGATCAAATTAATGAGACAAAATGAGGTAGCTTGAGTATTTCTATCCCTGTAATATAAAGGGAAAGATTTCACTTAGCCATTTGATAGGGCAAACAGGGACTTTGTAATTTTTTTCATGGCAGAAGTTAAGATGACATCATAAGTGATGACTTGAAGAGAGGGTAATGGATTACTAAGAATGTGGTAATTGTTTTTTAATTTTGAAATCATGGTAAAAAAATTTTAAATTGAAGTTTGTTTATATCAACTGGGAGATGAACTACAGTCTTCTAAGTTTATTTTACTTGTGAAGCACCAATTTGGCATTAAGCAGTATAGAAATTAGATATTTGTTATATACAAATATATATTTTGTATGTTTTGTAATTCTGCATTTGTTAAATATTTAGTGGTTCTTAGATTATCACATTGTTGTGTATTAGAGCATTAATGGAATCTTGATGCCAAAAGGAATTTTATGCATCCTTTACACCAGCAGTTCTCAACTCTTTGATCTCAAGACCCTTTTACTTTCTTAAAAGTTGAGGACCCCAAAGTGCTGTTCATGTGGTGTCTCTTTCACTATTTACCATAGTAGAAATTAAAACTGAGAAATTTTTGAAATATATATTTATTGTCTAAAAATAAGGTCATTACACATTAACAGATATACTGTTTATGGAAAATAACCATATTTTCAAAAAATTTAGTGAGAATATTGTTTTATATTTTGCAAATCTCTTTAAAGTTTGGCTTAATAGCAGTCAGCTAAATACTCATATCTGCTTCCTCATTCAGTCTGGTGCAGTGTTTTTTAGGTTGAAATATATGAAGGGGCACCTGGGTGGCTCAGTCAGTTAAGCATCGGACTTCAGCTCACCTCATGATCTCACAGTTTGTGAGTTTAATCCTCACATCGGACTCTTTGCTGTCAGCACAGAGCCTGCTTCAGATCCTCTGTCTCCCTCTCTCTCTGCCCCTCCCCTGTGCGCATGCTCTCTCTCTCTCAAAAATGAATAAACATAAAAAGAAATATATGAAGAAAATTCAGCCTTACACAGATGTGTAGTTGGAAAAGTGTCAGAGTACAGAGTAACGTTTTCAAATAAATTGAATATTCTTTGATACTACACCTCAACAGTTTGTAAATTTCTTTAAAGGTTAGTTGCACTGTGGAACTCTGTTACCTGTTAGACCAATGGGTGGAGAGAAGTAGGTAGATAAGTAGATGCTTTTTTTTTTTTTTTTTTTTGGCTCCTGGATTTGTACGGACCACCTCTTGCTCATCCTCTCTGATTTCCCCATATCCCTGTTCCTCATCTAACTTTGTTTCCAGCATTAGACCTATGATTCAACTCAGTTTATGCACCTCCAATAGATGAGAACACCCATATTTTTCCTTTCTCTTGCCAGGTCCCTTCTCAGGTTTTTGAGAGGTGAGTGTTTGCTCTAACACACCCTTCTCCGTATCTGTTAATGGCAACTCCCTCCTTTTAATGCTCAGACCAAAAACCTTGGTCAACCTCTTTCTTGATTGCTTTCTTTCACACTTATATCCAACCTGTCAGCCAGTTTTGTTGGCTTAACCTTCAGAATACATCCAGAATTCTACCACTTCTCATTCTCCCCATCATCACCTCCTAGTTCAAGCCACCATCATCTCTCACTGGATTATTACAAAAGCCTCCTAGTAGGTATCCCTGCTTTCACCCTAACTCCCTAGAGCCTATTCCTCAACACTTTTAAAAGAAGATTGTTTTATTTTTATTTATTTTTATTTTATTAAAGTTTATTTATTTATTAAGTAGACTTCACACCCAGTGTAGAGCCCAACATGGGGCTGGAATTCACGACCCTGAGATCAAGACCTGAGCTGGGATCAGAGTCGGATACTTAACCAACTGAACTACTCAGGTGCCCCAGATTGAGCCTTTTAAAATATATAAAGGTGTATCTCATCACTCTTGTACTCAAAAACCCTCATAGCTTCTCATCCCAAGGTAAAAACTAAAGTCCTTACCATGGCCTGTAAGACTGTATCATCTGACTCCTGTTAACTCCCCACTTCAGCTCACCCTCTCTCTCCTACTCTTCCAGTCTCAGTGTGTTCTTTGAGAGCACTGGAATTCACCAAGAACTTTCCTGTCTTACGGCATTTATGCTTTTGCTTCTTCCTAGGATATTCTTCTCCAGTGTGGCCTCAAGTCTTGATTTAGTAGACTAATATATTTAATATGTCTTTCTCTTGGAATGGATCATTTACCCATGCATGATTTTGTAACATCGTGCACCATTGACTTGGAAAATACAGGTTCACTAAGTAATGCATACCTTCCAAATGTTGACATGGTTCAATATGTAATGTTTTAAAATTATATTTATTAATGTTAATATCCATCTCATAAGTAAAATTTCTAAGTATTGGGAAACTATCAAGCTCATGGTGGCAGATACAATTTCCCTAGAATTCTCATTTGTTCTTGAAAATTTGAATTTTGTCATTGTCAGCAAATAAAATAGAGTCCACTTACTCATTTTCAAGAAAATGTTTTCCAAATACCCAAGTCTGAATAATCATAGTTTGTCTGTCTGTGGTTCATTCAGGTCACAATGGTAGTCCATGGAGAAAACTCTACTTTTGCTATAACTCAAACAATGCAGAAAGCTCTAGTGTCATGAAAATCATTTTGACTTCATGGTATCTGAAAGACTTTCAAGGTACCTTAAGCGTCCACGACTTTACAAATCATTGTTCTAGTCCATTTCTTCATTTTGCATATGATAAATTCTGAAACTCAGAGTAGGTTATTAACTCAAGGCCTAATACTTAATGATAGAGCCAGATTTGGAATCCAAGTATTCTGACTTCTAATTCAGTATCATTTCTAGTGTTTATAGTACATCCGACTCTATAAAAGAAAGACTCAGCCGTCTCCTGAAGAACACAGCATTTACTCTTTTATTTAAGTTTATTTATTTTGAGAGCAAGAGAGGGTGAGAGAGAATCCCACACAGGGTCTGCAGAGCAGAGCCTGATGCCAGGCTCAATCCCATGAACTGTGAGATCATGACCTGAGCTGAAATCAAAAGTTGGATGCTTAACAGACTAAGCCACCCAGGCACCCCAAAAACAGCTTTTTTAAAAAAAATTTATTTTAATTTTATTTTAGAAAGCAGGGGAGAGGGGCAGAGGGGAAGAGAGAATCTTAAGCAGGCTCCACACTGTTAGTGGAGCCTGATGTGGCTCAGTCTCATGACCATGTGATCATGACGTAAGCCGAAACGAAGAGCCAAGGGCTCAACCAACTGAGCCACCGAGGCGCCCCCCAAAACAGCATTTTTTTTTTAATTTTTTTTTTTTAATTTTTTTTTTTCAACGTTTCTTTATTTTTGGGACAGAGAGAGACAGAGCATGAACGGGCGAGGGGCAGAGAGAGAGGGAGACACAGAATCGGAAGCAGGCTCCAGACTCTGAGCCATCAGCCCAGAGCCCGACGCGGGGCTCGAACTCCCAGACCGCGAGATCGTGACCTGGCTGAAGTCGGACGCTTAACCGACTGCGCCACCCAGGCGCCCCAAAACAGCATTTTTAACATATAAAGTACACATTCAAGAAAAAATAATCTATTTTGGAACAAAATTTGGAATGGATGGATAAAAGTTCAAAGTACACACATGTCTATATTCTTTACGCTTGGAATAGTTTTAAAAAGTTAAAGGCAGTATTACCTAAAAACAACTAAACAGTATACCTACAGTTTTCAAAATCATTGCATTCTATATGGACTATTGGAAAAAAAAAACACCCAGAGGATTTATTATGTTTGGTTTTCTTAACAGCTAATAAAAATAGGTTCCGACGTTGAATTGTTACTCAGAACATCTGTTGTACAAGGTATTCATACAGACCACAATACATTGAGTAAGTAAAATTAAAAATGTTTTCTGACTTCTATGTGTTTTAAACTATTGAGCAGTTGCAGTGCTTTTAATGCTTAATAATAAAGCAACTTGATTTTGCCAGACAATGTGGTATATCCTGTATACATTTGTTTGTTTTTTATAAATTTTGTTTTCTTTTTTATTTTTTCTAATTTTTTTTACATGTTTATTATTATTATTATTATTATTATTTTTTTTTTTTGAGAGAGAGAAAGAGAGACAGAGTGTGAGTGAGGTAGGGGCAGAAAGAGAGGGAGAGACAGAATCCAAAGCAGGCTCCAGGCTCCAAGCTGTCAGCCCATGTCAGAGCCTGACATGGGGCTCGAATTCACAAACCACGAGATCATGACCTGAGCCTAAGTCGGAAGCTTACCAACTAAGCCACCCAGGTGCTCCTATCCTGTATATATTTGTAAGGCTACCATTTAAAATGCCAGATTATGAAACTTTATTTTGCCAGATTTTTTTTCTTTTTCTTTTTTAAATTTATTTTTTCTGTTTAATCTTAACTACTGGTTATATTATAGAACTGTAGTTACAAAAACAGTATGACTATTTTTTCATCATATTTATTTGATGTTCTTAACAATTGTATTATCAGTTATCACCTACTTAGACTGTTTATCTTTTATTCTTTGGTTAGAGTTATTTTAATTTAGAAGAGTTGGTATTATAGAAAATGGAAATACAGTTGAGGATCCTCCATTATACTTCCAGATACCTCATAGGGCTTCAGCAGAATTTTCACTTCACATTATATTTTGTTCTCATTCCCTAAAATATCTTTGAGGACGACAACAACAACAACAACAACAAAAGATGATATTCAAATTTTTGAAAATGTTTTCTTTTTCTTTAATTGAAAAAAAAAAAAGGCAGAGGGGCAGAGCGGGGAAGAGAGAGAGTATCTTAAGCAAGCTCCACACTCAGTGTGGAGCCAAACACAGGTCTTGCTCCTTTGGCCTTGGGATCATGACCTGAGCCAAAATCAAGAGTCAGATCCTAAATTGACTGAGCCACCCAGGTGTCCCAAGGTTTCTTTTTCTTTCTTTCTTTCTTTTTTCTTAAGTAATCTCAAAGTATAACATACAATCAGAAAAGTGCTCAATTATAAATATACAGCCAGGGAATTTTCACAGAGTAAAATAACCATGTAATCACCATACAAAGTAAGCTATTTCATAATATTACCGTATTCCCCTAACTCCTCATGTCCCTTCCAGATACCCGCTTCTAATAAGCTAACCACTATCCTTACTATTAATACTATAGATTTTTAATTTAGTAAAATAAAATGTTTGAACTTTATATAAATGGAATCGTAAAGGATTACTATTTTGTCTGGCTTTTTTCAACATTGCTTTTGTGAGATTAATCTATTTTGTTGTGTATAACATTTCTATGAATACTGTTGGAACATATCACAGTTTATCCATGCTGTTGTTCATTTGTGTTGTTTCTAATTCTTAATGTGTAATGACTATTGATTCCTTGAACATAATTGGATGTGCCTTTTAGTTCAAAATTTATAAATCCATGAAAATTTTATGTGTGTGTGGGTATACACACATACACACACACACACCAACACCACACTCACACACACACATATACATAGTTGACCCTTGAGCAGTGTAGGGGTAGGGGTGCTGACTACATTAGAAAATTCATGTGTAACTTTTGACTACCCAAAACCTTAACTACTAATAGCCTGCTGTTAATAAGAAGCCTTACCGATAACATAAACACATATGTTATAGTATCCTATACTATGGTCTTACAATAAAGTAAGCTTGAGAAAAAAAACATTATATTTTAAGGAAAATATGAATGTATGATACTCCTAACCAGTTTTCCAAATTAGTTAGGCTAATTTACACTTCGAGCAGCAGTGTCTGGGACCTCAGGGTGCTTCATATCCTCACCAACACTTGGTAATCTGCACCTCTTTAAGCACCCTTTCTGGTGATTGTGTTATGGTATTTGCATTGTGATTTTAATTTGCGTTTCTTTGGTGACTAATAAAGTACTAGCACCCCTTTCAGTTGTTAAGTGGCCATTTGGATATTCTTTTATGAAGTGACTGGTCAAGTCTTTTCCCCCTTTTTCCAAGGGGTTAGCTGCTTTTTTATTACTGATTTGAAGGAATTCTTTGTATATTCTGAATATACATTCTTAGATCTATGTATTACAAGAATCTTTTACTTAATGGCTTGCCTTTGGTTTTGGTAATGTTGCCTTTTGATGAGAAGTTCGTAATTTTAATATAATCCAGTTTGTCTATTTTTTCATTTATGGTTGATACTTTTCTGTCCTGTTTAAAAAAATCTTTGTGTGTCTCAAGCAAGGTCATGAAGAGATATTCCTATGCTTTCTTCCAAAAGCTTTAATGCTTGATCTTTTCCATTTGGTTGTTTATATCACCTGGAGTTGGGTTTTGTATATGGTATGAGCTAGGGGGTCAAGATTTTTTTTTAGTTGAAGTATAGTTGACACAATGTTAGTTTCCAGTTTACAACATAGTGATTTGATAACTGTCCATGCTATGCTAACCCCAATGTAGCAACCATTCATCACAACACACTATTACACTACCATTGACTATATTCCCTATTATTTACCTTTTATCCTTGTGACTTACTCCATATCTAGAAGCCTGTACCTCCCATTCCCTTTCACCCCTTGTTGCCCATTTCCCCACCACTCTCCTTTCTGGCAACCACCGGTTTGTTCTCTGTATTTATAGGTCTCTTTATGCTTTTTTTGTTCATTGCTGTGTGTTTTTGGTTTGGTTTGGTTTGGTTTGGTTTACATAGAAGTGAAATCATTTGGTGTTTGTCACAATGTTTTTACATGTGAATGTCCAATTGATCGAGCATTTATAGAGAAGACCACTTTTTCCCACTGTACTGCAGGGTTACTTTTGTTATAAAATAAAATGACTATATATGCTTTCAATTGTTTCTGAACTTCATAATCTCTGCAATTAGTTTTTCTATCGATCCATCATATGCTTTAATGTCTTGATTAGTAGTTTAAGCCCTATAAAGCTTTAAAGTTATTTTTAAGTTCATGAGGATTTATCAGAAATTATTAGATCTGAGTTGTATTCATAAGGGCAGTAAACATAGTAAAAAAAAATGCAAAACATAAAATTTGCATTACTCTAAATTGCAAATTTTAATCATTACCTTTAATCTTAATAATGATCTTTAGAGCTTTTGTGTAGTATAGCCAACATTTTATACAGGTAGTCCCTTCTAAATGTTATTATTTGAATAAAATAATATTTATTTATATGAATAAAAATTAAGTTATTTCAAACATTTAAATTGGATATATTTCAAATGCCTGGTTTTAGATGTGATAATACTGGTTTAAATTTCTTTTGATCTTTTGGTTTTCTTTATAATTTAATTTTCCCACAAGATTGAAATTTTTGAGCCTTTCATGGTAATTAGTATATAGTGCTGTATTACCTTAAGAATGGCCTCATCATTCTTTCTATTAAGAGATATATGAGTCTCTTTTTCCTACTTTGTGCCTATGTCCAAGATATAACAAATTGGATTATTTAATCTACTTTAAAGTTATTTTAAGCAAATATCTTCACAAATTTTAGCAGTGTTTGCACTGGTATATAGAAATGAATTAAAATTCTGCTACTTGGCTAAAAAGTACTGTGTTGAACAGACGCAGTGGGAATAGGCAACTTTGTCTTGTTCATGATCTTAGAGGAAGAGCTTTCTGTTTTTTGCCATTGACTATGATGTTATGGGCTTGTCCTATGTGACTTGTATTATGTTGGGGTGTGTTTCCACTACAGCAGTTTTGCTGAGAGTTTTTAATCATGACTGCATGTTGAATATTGTTGAATCCTTTTTCTGCATCTTTTGCATTGATTCTATGATTCTTTTTTATCCTTCATTTTGTTAATGTGGTGTATCACAGTATTTTGCAGATGTTGAACTATCTTTGCATCCCTGGTATAAATTCCACTTGATTGTCAAATTCTGCTTGATCCACTTGATACATGATTCTTTTCATGTGTTGTTGAATTTGATTTGCTAATATTTCGTTGAGGATTTTGCATCTGTTTTCCTCAAGGATATTGACCTCTGATTTTCTTTTCTTGTAGTGTCCTTGTCTAGTTTTGGTATCAGAGTAATGCTGGCTTCATAAAATGAGTTTGAAAGTATTCCTTCCTCTTTTGTTTCATTTACTTATTTATTTATTTTTAATCTTGACCTAAATTTTTATTTGGGCCATAAATAAGTTAAAGGATTTTATTTTAAGAAATTATTGTTTTGGGGATATCTGGGAGGCTCAGTCAGTTAAGCATCTGACTTCTGCCCAGGTCTTGATCTCACAGTTCATGAGTTCAAGTCCTGCAACACGTGAGCTTGAGCTCTGCTTAAAGTGAGGTTCTGCCCTACTTTGGGTGAGCTCCACTTCTCTCTCTCTCTCTCTCTCTCTCTCTCTCTCTCTCCCCCTTTCTCTCTCTCTCTGCCCATTGTGGGATTGTCTCTCTCTCTCTCTCTCTCTGCCCCTCCCTCACTTGCACCCTCTCTCTCTCAAAAAACAAATAAAATAAAGTGATTAAAAAAAATTACTTTTTTGGGGGCACCTGTGTGACTCAGTCAGTGTCTCACTTTGGCTCAGGTCATGATCTCATGGTTAATGAGTTCGAACCCCACATTAGGCTTGCTGCTTTCAGTGCATAGCCCACTTTGGATCCTCTGTCCCTCTCTCTTTCTGCCCTTCCCCACTTGTGCTCTCTCCCTGTCAAAAATAAATAAAACATTAAAAAAAAAGAAATTACTCTTTAACTGATAAATTTCATATGACCATAATAAGGTTTTTAGGAGCCTCTAAAGTACAGGAAATAAATCATGATCTCGATGTAGTTCTTTTTCAAGATCTGACAACTTCAATAAACTTAATGTTGTTATGGCACATTGATATCTAACATAGAGAACA